TGGAGTTTATAGGGACCCTACAAAAAGGGTTTGTGGTAGGTCAAAGTTACGTCTTTAACAGAGGGTCCTTGATGACTAGTTTAGGGTTTGGGGTATACCATACAAAAATGTATGTAAGGACTACCAAGGGGGCCCTGTTAATAGGTATGCCGACCTTTGTAGTTACTGCAGTGTTAAGTGAAGCTTAGGTTGAAAGGTGTAGGCTGCTTCAATGCGCAGGCGGCTCAGCCCAGCTTCTTTCCTGAGGGGCAAGAGTATCTTAACCCCTAAACCTCCAAACCCCACACCGGAAACCCTAAACCCTAAACCTTATAAGCCCCAAGCCTGAATACCCAAACCTTACCAACCCTAAACCCTAAACCCTAAACCCTAACACCTTCCACATGGCTGGGGCCCTGGGTTTCGAGCCTTGGGCCTCGATAAAACCCCAAAACCTCTAATACCTATAGTCTCCATTGTAGTTCCTTTTTTTGGTTTAACCAATTATATAATTAGGATCCTATAAGGTAACCCCCAAAAGGAACTACAATGGAGACTATAGGTATAGGGGCCTTAATCATTAGAATAGGGTCTTGGGGCCCGTTATACTATAATTGTAAAAAGGAACCCCCCCAAAATCGTATTGGTAATTATTTAGACGCCTACAGTAAATGCTCCATCCGTAAACCTCAAATCCTGCGGCTTCTGCTGGGTTTAGACTGGCCTCCCGTGGCGGGCGCCCCGCCGACCTCGGCGCCGAACTGCATCTAGGGTTGATTTTTCGAGGTGATCGTCATGTTTCCGAACTTCAGATCTGGAATAATGTAGACGCAGGATTCAGAAATTCAAGCCTTTCTTCCCTGCATAAACAAGATCACAAAAAGGCCTCTACGTAAACACAAGCCGGGGGTCGATTTTGTAAAATAATTCATACTAAGCCTGACAGCCCTCGACGTCCAAACCTACACAGAAAAGGCCTCAATTGCGCATGTCGCGGAGCCAGTGGCTTCTGTGATTTAGGATCGATCATCGAAGGCCTAATGGGCGTCACTTGCTTCAAATCTGGCGCTACTTTGCCGGCGTAGCGTAGTACTTCGGGGTGTTCCGGCTCCGGTACATAAACACTCCGAGGAGATGCCTTTGTGTTGAGTTGGGTCTCTTTGACATTTAGAGGGGTGTGCAGTATGTCTGTATGCCTATACTAAAGAGAAACAGAGGCTGGGGCAGAGCGTTCCCAAGCAGGGCCCAATGGCACCCAAAACTGGCAAGAAGGACCGTAATGCATTGTAGGACATTCTGGGACAACCGGCAGAGTGGCAGATCTCCGAATAGCTTTTTGCAGCAACACCAGGTACAGCAGCATTCTGGAAGCTGCTTGGCAGCGCACCCAGACAACAGCTCTACAAGCTGTCTGGATGCAGAGGCGTATGAAGCAAAAGCCACCCTAGAGTACTGCGAGGTACGGAAACATAAGATGAAAACAACCCTAAACCCTAAACGGAGCAGTGATATTAAAGTCCTCTTGCAGCCTGCATGTCTCTTAAGCGTTCGAGGACTCCCGGCAGCCCCTCGTTGGGGAAAGAACTCCAAGCAAAATCAAAGCCTTAACAATGCGAACAGGGTTTTGGGGTAATGACTTATTATCCTGTAGCTGCAGGGGGACTATGGGAACTATCAAGGCATGACTTTAGATTCTTATTCACTAAATCAGGCCTCCAAAATGCAATAATGCTTGACCTTAAACCCTAAACCCTAAACCCTGAATCACCTGTCAAGCAGTGACGGAACCTTGGGTTCGAAGTACCACCAAACCCACTGGACCATGGAGTCCTGAAAAATTGGAACAGTTATATATATTTTTTTTGGGGGTGTATATTGCTGCTGGTCTATGTATATATACATATGTAGTGTTGCTATTATTGTTCAGGCTTGTTCTGCATTTCTACTAGGAAGCTTACGGAACAGTATTCGTAATTGTTCTGGCTTCTTTGTTAGCAACAGTCTCAAAGCTACTGAAGCTGGAAAACTCAGCAGGAATTTTTGGGTGCACAGAGACAAGGAGGGTCCACGAGACCATCTGTGTCCGTGAGAAGTAGGAATGTCGCAAAGACGTAGACTTGAACTAGAGTTCTCTAAAACCAAGGGTAACCAAAAAATTATTCGGGTCCCGGTTTAACTGACAAGCCTATGAAGCAATCGTCGTCTAGTGACGCTCGGCGTATCGGGGACTTGATGGGGAGTCCAAGGAAATCGTCCCATTGGGTCGGTCGCATGTACAGCCACCGACCCAGGGTCGAACCGTCCTCTTGTCCGAGCATTTGCGCGCCGTCCCTCGCAGTAACTCTAAGGTTAAGGGTTTAGGGTTTAGGGTTTAG